CTTGCCACACGACCAGCACGGATCATTGTCCATCGCAAGCCTCTGACCACACTGAAATCAAGGAAATATTAAAACTTTGGAATAAAAACAATCTTCGAGGTTATCATTTTAGAACAACGACGTTTCAGAACCGCGCGTTTTAGAACCATGACGTTTCAGACCCGAGACGTTTCAGACCCGAGACATTTCAGAACCATGACGTTCCAAAAGTTGCGAGGTCCTGGACATACACCCATTAGAAATAGTTTTCTGTTGAAAATTAAAACCATTGCCTGAAACGGCAAGTTTTCCTTTCAATGGGAACTGGAAAATGGCGCCAAATTCAAACCTTGAATTCTCAAAGGACCTTTTTTATGTCCAAAAAACCTCCCAAAACTCAAGGGACTTTCATTTTGAGACCGAGCCAAAATTTCTCTGAAATTATCGGATTTTCTAAAATTTTAAATTTCTTACCAAAGAATGTGACGGAATTGCGCAATTCTTGCAACTAATCACTTGATGGGTTGTTTTAATTGGATCGTGGCATATGAAACATTTCCTTATTGAAATGAAAGGATCTGTTGGAGGTGTTGTCCGGATTCCAAAGGCTGTAGTAGAAGGATAGGATGTAGAAGAAGACGTCGTAGATGCCTCAGCTGGATTATTATTACTGAACATTTGGCTACCACCAGAGTTTTGAGTAACCAGCTGGGATAGTGTACGAATTGTAGACATTTGTTGTTGATTTTCAAATTCCAAGTTGCGGATTTTTTGTTGAAGTCTGGAAAAAATGTTATTTTGAAGTAGACTGTCAACTTTGAGCCACTTTGTCTCGTTTCCTGTGAAAGGTATCAAAAATTTTCAACTGATAAAATATTGACGATATTATGATAAACATTTTATCAGTTGACAATTTATTGGTATCTTTTACAGGAACCGAGATAATTGAGCTCAAAGTTAAAAGCCCAAAACTTACTCTAACAACTGCTGTCTAGTTCTATTACAGTGTTTACGGAAATTCGAGCAAATATACAATTTCATTTTTTTACTGTTTCATTATTTTTCAAATATCTCAAGGGTTCTAATGATATTGTTTCGGAAACATTATTCCTTGAAATATCGACAAGATTATTTTTTCCAATTCTTGGCTTAAAATGTAGATGGTCAACTTTGAGCCATTTTACCTCGTTTACTGTAAAAGATGTGAAAAAAAGTGGTCAACTGATTTAATGTTTATTATAAACATAGGTAAAATGCGAACGGGTCCGTTACGGACGCTTCGCGTTCGCGCGCGGTTGAAATAGGAACCGCATACGGACCTCACGCGAACCGTTTACAAACTCAACAAAACATTTGATTCGCAAACGGATCCGTTTGGTCATGATTCGCAATCAGATCGGATACGGAGCTCGCAAACGGACAGGATACGGATCAATCCGAATAATTTACTGCTACTTACTAAAA